CCCGAAGCGAGCGTAGGGGCTGGCGGGTGCTACTGTCTACCAGTCTCGACTTCACGTTAGCACCGACACCGTAGCTAGCTTTTCCGAGGCCGAGGACGATACACGTCCATGGCTTACTTAAGCCGTCTACATCCCTTGTGTGGTCGTCGGTGACGACGTCATATTCGCTATATATCTGTCGTTTGCTATAGTCTTGCTATAGCTCTTCTTCTCCTACGCTGACATCTATTAGCTTTGTTCCTTATTCAGAACAAACTCATAACTAATACATTTACAGAACAATCAAAATGCTTCCTGATAGCCCATCACCTCGTGCCGCTCTCGCCCTATCAGATCTTCAGCCTCAGACTGGAGCTTCAACATTCGCTGTCGGTACTGGCTCTGGCAACTGGTGAGTATGGGTGGCTATAACAGCCCAGCATTTATGTTCACTTATTTGCAATGCCGAAGTTAACTCTAAGCTCTCCTGGCTCAATGCTACCCGCAAAGCGCGGCCTCACATCTTCAAAATGATTCAGCTTCGTCGGAAATTTGGTGACCGCTACTTTGAGCGAAATTGGTATTTTCATGCATTCTCTCTTTTGAAGCTCTTTGTCATTACATAAGATCATGTCAATCTATTGTTGACCATTGCATCGCATTTAGCTCTATCTAGACCATTCTGGTGCAAAAACTTCAGATAAACCCATGACACATCCCGGAGTTTCTGGAAAACCCATGACCCGTCAAGGTTTTCTAATATCTTTCATTCTTGCGATTACGCAATCTCAATTCTCTCTCCTTTTTTGCACGTCTCTGGGAAATGATTTCAAGTTTTGAAGGCGAATTTATCCGATTTTCCTGGATAAAACATCTATTCTCTTCAGTTTCTGACAATTCAAGTTTAGGATGCTTGGATGCTTAGCTTTCTTCTGCAACAAAGGCAATTGATTTTCTTCTCCAAAAATAAGCGAGACCGAAGCTTATTGGCCTCAGTCTCGCTTATTTTGGCCGAGACTTTTTTGTCAAAACCTCTACTGATTCTTGGTTGGGTTGTCGAAAGTATACAGAATCGAATCCTCCAAAAAGGCCAAGCTTCGCTATTTGCCTCCCACTCACGTCCATATTCCATTGCTAACACCGGTCGTCCCAAATGTCCATGAAAGCCATAGGGAGGAAAACTAACTCCGCCATTCTGGGCCGCCTCGCGGGCTACTGGTCCTCATACGACATGCAAAAGTATCGCAAAAGGACCAATTGTCCGCGTAGGCGGCCCAAACGGCGGAGTTCGTTTTCCCTGTAAGCTAAGTTTCCAAAGACTTTTTCCGCCAAGCAATTGAGTCATAATGCTCGAACTACACGTCGTTCGCGTCTCCACGAACACAAAGCTGTCATACGCATGTGTGCTTGTGTGCGCGTAGGGGCAGCGCGCGTCTCAGCGTTACGTAATGCTTACGAGAAGCTTACGGGCTACGAGATGCTTACAAGACTGGTTGTTGGCGGCTAATGAGTGACTAGTTGGGGTGCCGACGTCAAGCCCCATCTCGCGCGTACACACCGAGAACATGCTCGAACACGGACGTTAGCTTTGCGCGTTGTCGAGATAAAGCTACTCCGCCGCGCCGTCGCCACCGCCTTAGCACAGCGTTACGTTGCCTTGCGCGCGCTTCGCATTGGGGCAATTGCACTTACTCGGAAGCCTTCAAAAATTAAGAAAAATTCAAAAAACCCCCCAGAAAATTCCCTCCTATTTTCAGGTCAACACACGGTGTTGGCGGTGTTGGTGGCGGATCGTTTCTGGATAAAAACAGCAATGGCGGACTTGGTGGAGGACTTTTTGGCAACAAAAGGCAAAATGTAAGTTTTGCTACAGGTTTAATTACGCTCACCAAAGAACAGTTTGCACATATTTACATCTTACAAAGTTGTAAACAGGGGTAGTCTGCACCAGTGTATTGTTACTACAAAATAGTTTTACACTTTTATATGTAAGTCAGTGGTCTTGGTCAAATTGCTGCAGTGTGACTATAGGGGACATCTTATTTATTCAAAAAAACTTAATGGTATTTTTTAGTCCAGCATTCCACTTTCATTCGAAGGTTCAAGTTCAACAAGAACAATAAAGTTCAAAGTCTACCAACTTTTACAATTTCGAGAGTAACTGAACCACAATTTTATTGAAAGTTCCACTAAAATTTCAAAAATGGGGGTCGCTCAAAATTCAAAAGTACTCTGATGTACCAAAAGTTCTTTAGCCTCTACACACTTTAAAAAATGTGAGAAATGACTTCCATAGAAAAAATGGGAAGATGGATTGTCTCCAGTATAATAGGAAAATTTGCGATTATTTTCTCTAATAAAGTATGCTACAACAATTTTCCCATATTTATATTGGGAAAATCCATATCAGGAACTATCTGCATTTTTCGTTGAGTGACTTTGACGCTGACCAGGCTGATACCTTTGTAAACCTCATAATGGAGGAAACTTGAGGTGACTTCTTTTCTGGAATTCCGCGCCAAATTCATAAATAGTTCTTCATTTCATACTTGATGGCTCCACATGTTTTGGCCATCGCGCAAAATATCACAATCCTTTTTATAGCGCGGTTCATTTCATCTAAAAGCTCAGCGCTTCCGATTTCTCACTTTCGCTTTATATCGAAATCAGAGTTGCAAACGTTTCCCATGATGATGCCCGAAACCATTGTCTTCATCCAGAGAATCCGTAGTTGACCTCGTTTCCCGGAGGCTTTCACTTATAAGACCCCTTTTCCAGGAACGCCCATTCGACTCATTCTTCAACAATTCGGGCCCCTGCGGCTGTGCCTCGTCGTCAAGTTCTGTTGGCGGACTGTTTTCACGAAAATGAACGCCAGGTATTGCGTCTGTTTCTTACAATGGCTTTTTTGCGTGCAA